GTGGACCTGCAAGGCCGGCAGGAGTGCAAGGAAGCCCCGCGAAGGCCCTCCCTGGCCCCAGGCAGGCAGGGGTGGGGAGAGGCAGGGAGGAAGCAACTTACCCTCCCTCTTCTCCTGCCTCCTCCTCGCTGAATGAGGGCCAGAAGCGGGGTGGCCGGAAGCAGGGGGCGGGGCTTCGTCATGTGCCCCGCCCCCATACCTCATTCGGGGGAACTGCGGATCCCCCCCGAAATGACCCCTGGGACTGGCTACATTAGGGGGTGTGGCCTAACATGCAAAGGAGTTCCTGCTACAAAAAAAGGCCCTGGGTTTTGACAACAAACAAGGTAAACAGAATAAGAAGCAAAAGGTGGGTGTGGCTGGATGACCACACTTCTGGTAACATGTGGGTGTGGCCTAATATGCCAATGAGCTGTGCGGTCGGAGGTTTGGCCTAATATGCTAATGAGTTTCTGCTGTTGGGTGTGGCCTATTATGCTAATGAGTTCCTGCTGGGCTTTTTCTACAAAAAGAGCCCTGGATTACATTATAAAATATGCAAGTCCATAAATCGTATACATAAGTTCATAAGTAGTTGACAGAAGACTTCAATCATGTATATGTAGGAAAAATCCTTCACGCAGCACTCATAAAGTACAGAAGCCTTCAGACTAGTAATACAGGAAAAATTCAGTCCTAATACTAATATAAAGCCGGGTATCCGATCAGTAGTGGAACATGTTCTCAAATAGTCATTAAGCCTTACTGACTATTTGAGAACATGTTCCACTATTGATGATTGAAGTCTTCTGTCAACTACTTATGAACTTATGTATACTATTTATGGACTTGCACATTTTACGATGTAATCTTGCTTTACTGATATATGTGGCCCCTTGTTATTTTTGCTCTTGTTATAATATAAATTATTACATTTCGACTTGCACATTTTATGACCTAATCTTGCTTTACTGATATATGTGGCCCCTTGTTATTTTTTGCTTTTGTTATAATATAAATTTCCTTTGCATGACCTTTGTGCACTCCATGGTCTGCGTTATTTATACAGTGCTTGTTTGTTTTCTGTACTCAGTCTACTGTGTTATCACTACTGTTTTGGTACACATAAATGAAACATATATAAGGTTAAAAGAAATAGTCCAAATATCAGACTTTTAAAGCTTATTACATTCAGAGCTGATAGTTATACATGTCCAATTGATGGGTAACACTTTTGACCAATAGACCATGCACGTTTTGGCCCCTTCGGGCCTTCCTCAGTGGTCAATATTCCTATTGCACGATAACACACACCCAGAAATAAATGCGTAATTTTTTTTTCTATAGAGCCAGGTGTTGCTTTCTCATATGCTTTGCAGTTGCTAAAAGTTTGTATAATGGGCCATGGATTGTAACTGCACAAATTCTCCAAATTATTCTGGTAATGAATACCCCATGTGTCAGGATGTGTTTCACTTCCATCAAAGGTAGTTGTTGTTGTTGTTCAGTCGCACAGTCGAGTCCGACTCTTCGCGACCCCATGGACAAGATCACGCCAGGCCCTCCTGTCTTCCGCCGTCCTCTGAAGTTTGCTCAATCAAAGGTAGTAGTCAAGAGCAAAAAGGGTGCCGGTTGGCAGCCCCCCAAAGGCAGACAAAAGACGGAGGGCGTGAGGACAGTGGGCCCGTTTTAGTTTGGATTTGTAAGCACTCCTTGGTTATTAGCAGTGTTCCCTCTAAGCTGAGTGAGTGTGAGCCAGCTCACAGTTTTTTAGCCTCCGGCTCCAGAGCTTAGAGGGAACATTGGTTATTAGTGTTGTTATTATTATTGTTGTTGATTATGCAGCAGCCGAATCGCTCGCTCACTCACAACTTTTAATGCCAGCAGCTCACAAGGCTCCACAGCTTAGAGGGAGCATTGGTTATTAATGTTGTTATTATTATTGTTGTTGCTATTCTTTCAGTCCAGTTTTCTTTTTATTATTCTGAGAGGAATCTGTTAACAGCTAACGCATTTCATTTATTTATTTTATTTGCTTTCTTCATGCCCCGCCTTTCTCCCCACATGGGCTCACATCCTTCTCCTTTCCTTCATTTTATCCCCACAACAATCCTGTGAGGTAGGTGAGGCTGAGCTTGTGGGGCTGGGCCAAGGTCTCCCAGCGAGCTTCCGTGGCGGAGGAGGAGGGAAGGATTCAAACTCGCCCCCCCAGATCCTAGTCTGACACTCTGACCGCTACGCCACACTGCCTCTCACCAGTGATATCTCACAGCAACAATAGTCAAAAGCACTATTAAACAAATGTTTACTGAACGCTTATGGACTCTCCAACTGTATCATCCTCCAGGTACCTATTCAGTTATATAAACTAATAATTTGGTGTAGTGGTTAGGAGCCGGTTTGGCGTAGTGGTTAAGAGCGCAGACTCTCATCTGGGAGAACCGGGTTTGATTCCCCACTCCTCCACTCGCAGCTGCTGGTGTGGCTTTGGGTCAGTCATAAGTTCTGTCAGAGCTGTTCTCTCATGAGCAGTCTCGAAAGAGCTCTCAGCCCCGCCTACCTCACAGGGTGTCCGTTGTGGGGAGGGGAAGGGGAAGGAGATTGCAAGCCACTCTGAGACTCCTCCGGATGGTGCAGGGCAGGGCATAGATCCAATCTCCTCCTCCTCCTCATTACAACTAAAAATTAATCAATCTGTTATTAAAATGATGCATAATTTCGTACTTCAGCAGACCAGGGCCCCCCCGCATGGTCTCTGTGGGTGCCACGGTGCTCACCTGATACCTTTCCTGGCTCCTGCCAAGTGTTTCTAGATAGTGGGTGGGGCCGGGTAGGGCACCTGCTCAGAAAGGCTTCTGTTTGACCACTGGAGACTTGATGGGCTGTGCAGGTTTTTGCAAACACGGCTTCTGGCGGCGGCAGCTGCCCCCACAGCACAAGGATCGTCACAGCATGATTGAATGAAAGCTGACAGCCATCTGGAGCCTTTTTATCCCTCTTCCCCTGGCCACTTCCATTTCCTGTTTCCCTGCTCCTACTCCTGAGCAGGCCTTTTCTCTTGAGAAGGCCTTTACACCAGAGGAGGCCACCACTGCCTAGGGAGCGAGTACTGTGTAATACGGCGTACCTTCTTGTCGGGGAGATGATAGCTGGAGTTTCTGTATTGGCAGGGGCTTGGACTAAGTGAACCTTGGTGGTCCCTTCCAACCCTGAGATCTAATTAATTAATTAAATGGTTAATTAAACATTGATTGGCCTTCCTCCTGCCTGTTTCTCTCTGGCTGCTGTCGGCCCCCGTGGCTCCTCCATTGCCCCCGCAACTGGTCTGCTGTCTCCTTTTGGGCCGTGCGCCTGCTCCACCCCTTCTCCCCCAGGGATAAGGCGTCCCCAGGTGTGACAGCCACCCACTTCAGTATTAGATATACCCAGGGGTCATTTCCTGCGGGAGCACACAGGAGCGGAGCTCCGGCAGTAAGGAGCCCAAGGGGCGGGCACATGCAACAAGCCCCGCCCCTGCTCCCAGCAGCCCTCAGTCGGGCCACGAGGAGCAAGAAGCAGCCAGGTAAGTTGCAGAGGGCCCCCCCCGCCTTCCTTCAGGTACAAGCTCTCCCTCCTCTGTGAGGGCAGATCTGCGTGTTCCCCCCACCCCCAATAGCTAGCAATCCAAAACAGTCCAGTGACAGCTTTAAGAGCAAGTTTTATTCAGGTACAAGCTCTCCCTCCTCTGTGAGGGCAGATCTGCGCGTTCCCCCCCCCCAATAGCTAGCAATCCAAAACAGTCCAGTGGAGCCTGAGCGGTGGGTGTTGCCTTCTGACACACTTCCGGTGATGTCAGGGGGTGTGGCATACACAAATAAGTTATGCTAATAAGTTATGCTAATGAGCTCCTGCACCTCTTTTTCTACGAAATGACCCCTGCATATACCAATGGCTGGTTTTATTACTGGTCTTAAAAGCATCGGCTTCTTAGTTGGTGTCACTTGCGTCTCAAGCACAGCCTGGGAGCAACTCTAGATTGCCCTTCTTGCATTTGTTTGGTGACCAACTTGGTGCCCTGCCTACCTCTTGATGCTATTCCTGCGGATACCAACTAGAAACTCTGGGCTTCTAGTGCACAGTTGGAAGCCCCACCCCTCTTCAATTAAATTATAGCAGCTCCTGTTTATTTGTTAGTGATTCACAAAAAGAAGAGAGAGAGATGTGCCTTCTGCTGTTCTCTTCCAGACGAATCTCTGCCATTTCATTACGACGAAAACACCACGAGCATTCGGGTGACGCAGTCTCTGGATCGGGAGACGCGGGAGAGGTATGAGCTGCTCGCCAAGTGCACCGTGAGAGACGGTTCCAAGGAGACCTCCAAAGAGGTGCCCCTACTAGTAACGGTGTTGGATGAAGACGACATGCCCCCGTTCCTTCCCGACGGCACGAACACGGCAGATGCAGTTGTGGAGTTCCGCAGGAAAGAGGTCTGTGTTTTTCTTCTCTCCCGTGGTGTTTCATGGCAATCTAATATGCCTGGCTGGTGATCAGGGAACCTGTTGACCATGGATGTCTTGTAGACTTTGGTGACTCTTCCTACAGTGTTGCACATTCTCCGTTTTGTGGTTGGAATTGCTTGTGTGCAAATGTGTATGTGGAAATGTGATGGCCCACTTATTGATTTAAAACATTTTTATGCTGCCTCTCCACCCAATTGGGGTCCACAAGGCAACGGACATTTAAATAATCAGCACGTAAAAATAAAGTGGGCTCTGTATCCTTATATGCTGCTGAGGTGGCCCCCGTATGACAGCCAATGTGACGTAGCAGTCAGGGCTTCAGAGCACGGGAGAGGCTGCAGGTGTGTGGGGGGTGGAAAGCTGAAGAGTGAGGAGGAAATAAAGGAAGGTTGATGATTGGCTGGGAAGGAGATAGGGTTGCCAACTCCAGGTGGGAAATTCCTGGAGATGTGAGGTATGGAGCCTGGAGAGGGTGAGGTTTCAGGAGGCATGGGACCACGGACAGGTACAAAGCCATAGACTCCACCCTCCAAACTAACTATTCCCTTCTGGAGAACCATCATTGCCGATCTCCAGGTGAGGGCTGGAGATCACTCAAAATTACCACTGTTCTTTAGGTAGCAGAGATCAGTTCCTCTGGAGAAAATGGTGGACTCAGTGTCATTATACCCTGCTGAGGTCGCCACAGCAAATTGACACTGACTGTCCAAGGCCGGGGCACCCGCCCAGAGCCTCTTTCTAGAGGCCGTTGTATTTATTTCCACAACGGGCCTTTTTCCTAGTTACATTATAAAAACAATTAGAGCCATAAAAATCCAATATTAACATTCAAACATGAATATCTAAAAAACATTTTTAGAAAAAGATGGCATATCTAGCATTCAGGTTTTTTGGGGGGAGGGTGAGGGTGCTGGGCAGAAAGGCACAAATGTTGGGCGGATTTTCAGGGCGCAATCACACCGCAACATCTGGGAAGCGTAGTGCACACATGGCCAACCTGTGGCGTAGGTGAGGCTGAGGGCTTCAGATGGTGGGGGCAACTGGAGCAGGGGCTATGACGATACCTGGAGTGTACGGATAGGTGCCCACAGGTGGAGGACTTGACATGAATCCACCATGTTACATTGGAAGCTGACTTTCACTGGTTATTATTTAAAGGTAAAGGTAAAGGTTCCCTTGCTCGAAAGCCAGTCGAATCCGACTCTAGGGTTGCGGTGCTCATCTCCGTTTCAAAGCCGAAGAGCCAGCGCTGTCCCAAGACGTTTCCGTGGTCATGTGGCCGGCATGACTAAACACCAAGGCGCCACGGAACACTGTTACCTTCCCACTGAAGTGGTACCTCTTTATCTACTTGCAATTTCTTGCTTTCGAACTGCTAGGTTGGCAGGAGGTTATTATTTAAAAAGAGTATAATGTGCTTTATGAGATTATTGGAACCTTCTTCTAGGTTTGAATTTAGGGAACCACATAGAGGACAGGTAAGAAAACTTAAGACATGATGAGAGAGAGAAAAACATTGCAGGTCATTCAGTTTCTCATGCACCGTAGCTGTGGTGTGTGTGGAACTTCCCTGGTTTGCCAGCTATGTGCCAGGTATCTCATGGATTCTTGGAAAGTTATCAATGAGAAGATCAGTAACGGCAGGTGACCTTCTTGGGGAGAGAGCTTCCCCAATATCCACGAATACTGATCTTTTTCTACCAAACAAAGCCTCAGGAGATGCCTGCCACTTCGTATACAGAGTGAGACCTCTAAAACATGTGTGAGTTCCTGTCATCAGGGTTCTGTGGCAGATGCACTCAAGTTCCTTGGGAGACGTTGGTGTAGAAAGAGCTTAGTGAGGGTTTCTCTGTTGAAAGCAGATTCAGGTGTGCAGCCATGCTGGCTTGAAGCAGCAAAGACGGAGTCTAGTGGCAACTCTACGAATGACAACGTTTTAGGGCGTCCACAACAAAGTGTACAAGCTTTTGATTTTTCTGGATATCTATCATGAGGCTGAATGTTAAAGGGGGGGGATCTCTCAGGCCATGATGAGAAGATCTGTTTTAAGAAAGTCACAGCCGACTTAAGCAACCTCATGGGGTTTTCAGAGCAAAAGGCACTAGAATAAAACTGTTGGTCTTAAAGGTGCCGTTCGACTCAGACTTTTGCTCTGTTGCAAGCAAATAGCTATGTCAGTGCTCTCTGTCATATAAAAATTGGGATACACACAGTCTCTTTGACTGGAGCTTAAGACTCTTTAAAAGGTTTTGCCTTTTCTTTCTTAGCGGACGAAGTGCATTTCTTGGGTAGGATTTCCCTGACTGTTAGTTTTCCCGTTAAAAGGAGCATACCATTTTTAGATGTTTGCTGCCACCTACCGGCCAAATTTTATCTTATCTCTCCCTTATAATAAAAGCGTTTTGGGTGCCAAAATTCTAAAATGCGCCCCGTTAGTGTATGGCCGGAAGAGTTGCCACTCAGAAGACGCTTGCTGCGATGACTGGCTCCCTCAGCGAACCTGGCCTGCCATTGGCTGGGTGGCTCGGAGGGGAGGGAGCCAGTCATCACAGCGTCTTCGGAGAGGAACCTCTCCCGGCCATTCTGTAACAAGTAAGACCGGCGAACGGAGCCGTTAGGCTCCATGGCCTGCCATTGGCTGGGTGGCTCGGAGGGGAGGGAGCCAGTCATCACAGCGTCTTCGGAGAGGAACCTCTCCCGGCCATTCTGTAACAAGTAAGACCGGCGAACG